AAACATTTAATTTTTTTATCTGTGTCTATTTGGCTTGAGCAGTGTTGGAACACACATGTGTCACTACCCACTACGATTCGTTCGATCCGCATCTTTGCAGGTTAAGTTTTCACGGCTTGTTTCAATAACACTAGGAAGAGGAGCAGAGGAGAATAACTTGGAGGTTCTTGATGTGCATTATTATCTGTTAATTCCCCACTTGTGGCCTCCATTTTTATGGCAATCAGCGACATCCAAATAGGCATTCCAGATGATTTGGTTAGTAAAATGAAGAATTTGTTTATACGGAGGGACGCTGAATGTGTCAGAGGACTTGTCTAATTAGCGGCACAAAGCATCAAATAGTGAATGATAAGAACAAGCTGGAATTTTACAATGATTCTTTTCATGTTGTGGCAATTTCTCCTTCAGGTGTGTTCATTATGTTTGCCAATTGCATTGAACACATCAAGGTGAATCACATTCAATGGAAATGGGGACCCTGTTACCCAATCGTCAATCTCCCTGCTGATGTGAGTTTGCCCTCCTGACGTTGCGTTGGGTGGATAACCTCCTTGAATGTGTGACAGGGCGAGAGATGCAGTGACCTCACGTCAAAGTGTTGGTGCATGTGTCGCAGATTGTGCAGGCGTAGCTGAGATATGCTGCGCCTTCAAACTCAATCAGTGGCCGAAGGACTGCAGTGATATAAGTAGTTTCAACTGGCTTTGTTCCAACATTTGTAAGGCTGACGAATCTCTTGTTGACTATCCGCACACAATATGCTCACCACCTAATTTACATGGATTATTCGGTCCAAACCAAACCATGTGAGATTCCTGTCTCTCGCCACAGGCTACATATCTCTTAGTTCCATTAAAATCATCCGCGGGAAAGCATGCATGTTGTTTCGGATGGGAAAGAGGTAGGAGAGCAAGAGGAGGAAAAGAGAGCCAAAAAGGAAAGAAAAAAGTAAAGTGGTTTCACTTTGTCCTCCTCCATTATCAAGACTCCATATTTTCTAGGATGCAGTTGTTGAATTTTCTACGTTATGGACAATTGCATACGATGCAGAGCTGATATTTTGGAAATGGACATGTATGAAAACGCCTGCACCAGCTGTATCTTATTCAAATTAATGGAGAAGTCACTAGGAGTGCTCTGGCCCTGTGATTGACACCATTCTCACACATTCTTATTCGCTAGAATAATCTCGACCCTGTCCTACCTCGTCTCCACATCAGGCTAATCATTAAAGAGAACTCAACTAGATCTCTAACAAATTTTCTAGTCTTTCAATTTTCAAATAGATTTGCCTGAGGCGACAGATCTTGAGTTCTTATATGTAACGCTAACACTTGCATTACCAGTTTTATTTTCCT